TATTATTATATATATTATATTTTATTATTAATTTTTTATTATTATTATTTTTTATTTTTATTTTATTTTTTATTATTTATTTTTTTTTATTATTTTATTATTATATATATTATATTTTATTATTAATTTTTTATTATTATTATTTTTTATATTTTATCGTTCCAATGAAATCTCTCAAATTAGTACTAATTTAATAAGAAAAAAAAAATTTAACTACATCAACTATGTATGATGTATGATTTTTAGTTGACAAATTTATTTGTCTCATTGAAAAATAAAATAGACTTTTTCGACAAAGAATTCGAACAATGAAGAATTCCCCTTTTTATTTCGCCTGGCTTCCTTTCTTTCTTTCTTTTTTTTTTTGTCTGGCTTGCCAATTCCTGCAGGTCAGGTCCTTCCGGTCCTCGTAGCGTCTACACCTGGATGAATTCCAAAGTTTCTGCTCCGGAGTCAGCCTTTAAGATTTTTGTGTGTTAACACAAAGCGAAAGGTCCATCTTTATTTATTCCCATTCGTTCGTTTCTTCAATCATGCGTAAATCATTTCATCATCACCTTGAATCTTATCTCTGATATCTAGTTAATTTTCTTATTGCATATATACTTGAACCACTGATAATCAATCAGTAATAATAATAATAATAATAATAATAATAATAATTCGATATTTTTATCTAAATATTTTATTCGACGAACATAATTTTGATTATTTGTAAACAGATGTTCAAGTTTTATAATTGATGATATTAATAATACGATATTTTTTTAGATTTAGATTTTCGCATATAAAATCTTCATTAAAAAGGAAAAAAAGAAAACAAGCTTGTCTAATCATCAAATTGTTTTTCCAGATGGAAACCGAGGTGCGGACGCTCAAGCAAGAGCTGGTTCGTACCCAAGAGGCCTTGAAGGCGGCCACAAAGAAATGCCGTGATCTGGTGAAAGAGCTGGACAATCGCACCACGAGTCACGAGTCCGAGAGGAGTCTTCGAGATCAACAGTTATCGCGTATACTTCGCGCTCTGCTGGTGCTCGAGGCCCGGCTCAAGCAGGAGCAGAAATCAATCAGGCAGCTGCTCTGCGAGAAGGACAACGTGATCAGGAACCAGCAGCTCGAAATCGCGAGGCTCAGGCGTTACACCAAGAATTATATCAAATGTAAACGCGAACAGACGCTTGGTAAATCGTCGATGAAGGTCGAAACGGCGGCCGATATCGAGAACAACGATCTTCAAACGTCCAACGTCGATGTAAGTTTTCAATTCCTTCGATCGTTCAATAATTAATTATATTAATTTAAATTAACGTTACTTTTTAATGATAATGAAATTCAAAATGCATCCTTATAAATCAATATTTTATATTGATTTTTTTTACAAATTTCCTCGATCGTGAGTAAACATAACCTTAACCTTAATCTTAACCATAACCTTAACCTTAACCTCCTCATTTTTTTCTTTATTTCAGGTTAGCTCGAGGCAGGATTGCAGTATTAGTAAAGACATTCAGAATTTGAAATGCGAGATAATCACAAAACTGAATCCGTTAGAAGTACCTGTTGCGCTCGAAGACTTGGACAGAGGGGTGAAGAAAACGCACAGCTTTGCCGGGAGCGACATCTCGAAAACGAGTCTGACGAGCAGCGAGAATACGGATGTGTCGATTATCACGACCACCACGGAGGGCAGTCCCTCGTTGCTCAGCACCGAAGGTTTTTGCGAAGGTGAGAGCACCGATGTGTCGCCCAGTTCCACGTTGAATAAATCCAATAGGTGTACGCCGACAATGGTTACCGACAGCGAGAACGAGACTACGATGATCTACGACGACGACGACGACGACGAGGAAGAGAAGACGACCATGATCATGGAGAACGGTTGTAAATTATCGAAGAAAAAGATGGGGTTAGGCAGGTTGAGAACGCAGAAAGCGTTGAAGGAAATGGATGTGATCGAATCGACGAATATCGCGAGGACAGAGAGTAAGGACGATGGGATGGATTGTAATTTTGCCTCGGGAGATGAACAGGAGAAGGAACAGGAACCTATTTACGTAAATTCTTTCAATGAGACAAATTCGAGAAATCATGCGGAAAATATAATTACGCCGAAGGTGAACGAGGATTATAGTAATAATAATGGCAATAGCAATAATAATAATAGTATGTGAGTATTTGTTTTTTGAAAAAATAATACAAGCACAAATGTTCCTTATTTACTGTATTAATTATTGTAAAATTAATATTCATAATTATATTTGCACAGATCCCTGAAAATGGAAATCGAAGAGCATAACGTAGAAGATACCAGCGGGAACTGGTATAGCGATCCTGACGAAGACAAAATGAACGATGATGTTTTCAGACATAGCATGTATCGACCGAATAGCAATCATAATTCTGTTTTGGAATGCGTTAATCAGATCCTCCTGCGAGATATGGAGGATGAAGAAAACATTCTTTCAATGTCCAGAAGATTTAAACATCGAGGGAGAATTGTACGGTTTCAACCGGCTAAATTATCGGACATCGAGTCGGTAGGATCTGAAATGGAAAGGAAAAATTCCGAAGAAGGTATTATAGAAAAAGAATCGGCTGATAGCGAGTTCACCGATGTTCCTACCAACAGTTTCGAACCTACTGCTACGGAAGACGAGTTTGGCATGAGTCTTACTCAAAGCGTTTCAACTTCAAACGTTACGACTACAATCACGAATCACGAGTCGAGTCTTGAGGAAGAATCGGAGGAAGCAAAAGCTATTCCAATTGTCATTATAGAGCCAAAGATCAAGATGGAAGAAACGAGACACGCAGCTTTCCAATCTTCGCAAGTATCGCAAAAGATTAAAACATCCGTAAATGCCTCGAATCCACCTTTAAAATTGGAACGAATCGAGGAGAAGACTTGTTTACAGATGTCTACAAAGGGACTGACTATAGCAAAAAATTTAGATTACGAGGATATCGAATCGCTTCCGGAAATTATATCACCACCTCCTAAAACACCGCCTGCCTTGCCTCCAAAACCACAGTTTAAAAATAACACGTTGATCTTAAAAAAAATTCCTAGTCCTTCGTTTCTGATCGATGAGACACGAAAAAAGCAGCAACTTCTTGAATCCGGTTCGTCTGAACACAGCAAGAAGATATTTGGTTTTATATCCTCTCCTTTAAAATCTACAGGAATTAATGTGTCGTCTGCGAGAAGCTTAAATTTCGATGATACGATTAATAAAGGTACAGGAAACAACGAAGAAGGGAACTTCTGGAAGAACAGATTCAATAATGTTCGATCTTCCTTTCAAACACGTCAGAATCACGAAATTAGTGGAGAACAAATGCGAAAAATACCCAAAGTCACCAACATTGTTCGTCATTTTGAAGAATTCAAAATTGGCGGTGAATCGGAAGATCAAGCAAAAAAACGCACGAAAACGAAGGAAAAACACGTCCATTCAGAATTCGATCAAGAGTTCGATATCAGACAAAATTTTGAGGAATTCAATTTGGATGAATGTGATCTATCGGATGATCCAGATAGACCGGAAGGCGATGGATCGGAAAAGCTTGGCAATCTTGGGGTAACAATTAGTCAGAATGAGAAAACTGCTGCAACCAAAGACAATAATAATGTTCCTCTCGCTGCGAGCAATTCGAATAGCGGTTACGATCACTTTCTAGAAGCAACAGGTCTTAGCAACAAATCCATACTGACTCCCTCAAGGTTATTAAGTAACCATAAAAGCATGCTAAAGCCGAAAGATGTAAAGTATAAAAATAAAATCAAAGCAACAGCGGTTATGGAAAAACATGGTGTTTCCACAACGAATACTACTCATGTTAGACATTGGACAGGCCCATTTGTCTGACGATTGGCACAAGTTTTTCCAAGAAATCTATTCCGACAAGAAACACCCGATGAAAAAAGATAAATTAGACAAATATGATCTATATTAACGAAAGTTGAAAAAAACCGTGGTTCAAACAAAATTCTTCTATGTACATGAAATATATAATTTTGTGTAAATTATTATTAATATTTTCTTTCCTCTTTTTAATATTTTATCAGATTTTTTGTTATTAAAGAAATTGAAAGATACGAGAGTTAATTTATTTAATTAAATTTGAAAAATACTTTTGTATTGTATATTTTAATAAAATATGTCCTACTTATTTAAAATATTAATGCAATTGACAAAATAATTAATTGAATGATAATTGACAATATTATACATATATTATTATTTCGTTCTTTCGCTGTAAATTGCAATTAATACTTTATTTACTATGGAAATGTTTTTATGAAAACGTTTTTATTTTATTTTCTACTGAAAATCCTGAATAAAAAATTGAAAATGTTAAATAATATTGTTATATTATATGAAATGAAACAAATAAACAAATTCATTATAATAAAATATGATTATATAAATTTAAATTATTATGTTTTTACTTTAACCTGTAATTATTTATATTATATAACACTGTATATAAATTTACAAAATTTTAAATATTTCAACTGATCGTTATTTAAATTTTGTGATATTTAAAAATCTATATATATGTGAATCTATATATGATATTTAAGAATCTATCTATATATCTATATAATTATTGGTTAATTATTTGTTGATTAAATAGTATAAAAGTAAGTATATATATTCTGTAAAAAGATTAAATATACACAATGACAAAAATCAGCTCGAGGATAAAAATAAAAATTATACTTGTTTTTTTGTTGGAAATAAAATTAAAAATAACTTTATTGAAAGATTTTTATGTTTGATTAAGAAATAGAAATACACCATTATAATATTAAGTATTTTATGACGATTTATAAACAACTAGAACATATGATACAATTATATATAATTTCTACTACCTATAAAAATACAACGCAACTCTATAAAAATACAACGCTAACTGTCACTGGTATCAAAATCTAAATAGAATATGGAAGAAAAAAGTACTTCGGAAAATGGACAATATTTAAATTCAAACATTTCAGTAAATGTTTTAAAAGGATTCCATTTTCACAGATTAGTATGAATCATTCGTTCAGGCACTCTATTACGCTTGGCTAGTGCTACATTATCAATACAAATGTATAGACATAGCTGAAAAATTGCATGAAGAATCACACAATTAATTTGGCACAGTGGTTTCTTCAAGTTTCTCTCTCTGCACGAAAGTCATAAAAAAACTAAACAAAAGAAAATAAAAAATAAAAATATTAAATGCATTAATATATTATATACTTCGGTCTCACCTCTTTATCCAAATTTTCTTGAGTCCAAATTTTAATTACAGGAAGTTTATTCTGTAAATGATTAATTGTAAAAAAAACATAATGAACATGAAAATACAAACTTTTGTAAAAATAACTTACAGTAGAAGAATCAGAATGAACACTAAGACGTGAATTTAAAATAAATGGAACTCCATCTAAATCAGAAGATCCTGGCAGTGTACCATAAATTGATGTAGATCCAGTAACTATTGACGTAGGAGGTTGTGGAGCAGGTCTAGTTGGTCTAATTCTTGCATTAGGATTCAGAATTTCATAATCTCTATCATCAGATTCTTCTATATCCTTTCCTCCACTTCCACTAATTTGTGGATAAACTCCATTTGTCGGTTTTGGTGGTCTTTCAGGAGGTATTCTATGGGACGTTCCATTTGATGAATTTGGAGAAACACTTTGAAGTAAGCTAGATAAAATATAGTATATAAAAATTATTATATAAGAATTGATATAAATATATTCTAATCTTAGTTTATAAAATAAAATGATTCATACTCTAAATTAACATATGATTGTGAATTTGAATTTTCATTTACAATATCCACAGTTTTATAGCAAACACAAACTCCATTGACAATACTGAAAAAAAATGAAGATAGAATAATTAAATTTTTATAAAATTTTAATACATTTATATATGCAAATATATATACCCAGCAGCAATAAATCCGTTTGGTGCCATTTTGGATGTATTATAAACTTTATGTATAAGTCTACTACATATGATAATATCAGTAACTGCTTTTGAGCATAATTCTTTATTTCTAATTTTATAGCACACCTGTTTCTTTCTCCATGCTTTCTGCACTAAAATTCATTACTACAATGTATTAAATGAAAATATTTTTTTAATAAGTGATATATTAATCACTCTTACGTATGCTCACTTGAATCTACAGTATAAGAAATTATGCTGTATCCTTCTGGAGGAGTATCTCGTTCATTAATGACTGCTATATCTTCAACAACGCACCGAGGTAAACCTTCAGTCTTTGAAAAACATATATATCTGCCTTTTTTTTTAATAAAAAGCCCACTTTCTCTCCATAAATCAGCATCAGTATCTTGGTCATATGTTCTTGATACCTAATAGTAAAATAATAATCCATAATTTTGATTATGATTATTTTGTGATATTAATTGTTCAATAAGTAAAATTTAAAAATAATTTTTAAATAATTATTTAAATTAAAAAGTTGAATTAATAATGTAAATATTTATATGTAAAATAATCAATATTAAAAGTTAATTAAATAAAATTAATAATAATTAATAATAAAATAATTCAAAAATATTTTTATAAACATTAAATAAAATATGATAAAAAATATAAATATTATCTTATAACATACCACTGTAAAATTTGGTGGACACTTATCTATATCTTCAACAACACTTATGGCTGTGATGGGTCTATCATCAGGTAGCACTGATGATAACTGATGAACTAACAT